GTGAGGGTGCAGAGCCTGGAGCAGCTGCCCAGAGAGGTTGTGGAGTGATCTCTGGAGAGATCCCAAACCCTCCTGGACATGCTGGACATGACCCTGGGCACCCTGCTGTGGGTGACCTGCCGGAGACGATCTCCAGAGGTCCCTTCCAACCCCCAGCACTCTTGAAATTCTGTGCTCTGCTCTGCCACGGGCACCTCTGGAACAGAATCCCCCGACTCATCAGCTTTTCCCCCTCTCACAAAGCAGCAGCAGCAGCCCTGCCCCTGCCCCAGCCCTACCTTGGAGGCGTCTATGACAAAGCTGTGTGCTACATTCGCTATGAAGCCGTCGACGTGGACACCCAGGTCACTGCAAGGCAGAGAGAGAGTTAATTACAGGTGGGGCCTCACAGCTCGGGCAACTTGTGTGGCTTCTAGAAGCCACACAGGACTCAAGCATGCTTGGGAGTGCTTCATTTGACTGGTTCTTTAATTAGCCACGCCGAGGCTGAAGGCTGAACTCCAGGAGAAGTTGGACACTCACATCTTGACCAAGTCCCCGTCCTTCAGGATGTAATCCTGGTCACTCTTCAGTGGGGAGAAGTGACAGACACAGTTGTTGACTGATATACTCGTTGGGAAGGCAATACCTGCAAAGGGAAGGGGAAAAGATCCCCTGAAATCCTGCAGCCCACAGCGGGTGGGTCGGCACTCGGTGTTTTGGGACAGTGTCTGTGCCCATCGTGTCCAGGGCCACAAGGGACCCACCAAAAGCTCCTGGAGAGAGGCTCTGGGTGACGTGCTCAGCACCACACAACTCCCACAGCAGCCTCCTGAGGGGAGGGCACTGAAACCAGAGCAGCTCTGGACACCAAGGGGGCCGATTCGGTGTCAGGACGGGAAGCTGAGGCTCAGCCACGCGCCCCAGCGGGGCAGGCAGGAGGATTGGGGGTTCAAACCATCTCTCTGGGAACAGCCAACTGCTCCTTACCCTGCCGAGCACGGGGCCTCCCTCACCTTTTTTCATTTCTTTCTCCTTCTTGAAGATCTTGCCCGTCTCCTCCATGATCATGGCATCTCCCTTCTCACACAGGCACAGGACCGACGCTCCGGAGCTCGCCGCTTCCACCACCGCTCGCAGGACCCCTGGATCCAAACAAACACACACACGTGGGGCTGTGGAAGCA